AAAATGATATATACATGTGTACATGTGTATGTATTGTATGCATGCATATAAAAATAAATATAGATGTGTGAGAGATTGCACATATGTGTGAGAGTGCTATTCTTCGGTCACCTGTAAACGCTTTCAACACTATACTAGAGCAGTCTGTACTCTGTACCAACGTACAAGAGAGAAAAATATCTGACTTTGCAGTAGCACTTGACGGGGGCAGCCCATGGTCCAGCTTGATGGTAATTAACGAGAACACACATGCACTTGTGCAGACGTTACGGGGACTGCTGCCGCTGCATGCAAATCGACTGAGCAAAAACTATGGTCAGTCAACTGACGAGCTTTGCTACACTTACGAAAGTTTTTAACGAAGAGTTACGTAAAGGGTGACGTGGCTTTGTTTAGTTGGATAGCACACTTCCACACCCTGAAAATCAGAGGGGGATTGGTTAGGATTAGGGAAGGAGATAACATTTTTACGTAAGATTACATAGTATTTTTCGTAGGTGTAGCATTTTTGGTCAACTGACCCAAAAATTAAAAACAGTCACCTTGCACGTAGTCACTCCCTAAGTTGATTGCCATACTTGCTTTTGCAATAATCCCACTAGTAGTACTACTAGCTATTTTAGTACTGAGCTAATGTGTGTGCGTGTGTGTGTGTTTTGCGAGGGTATTTATTCTCGAATGAGATTTCCAGAAACCGATATTTCCATTACTCGCTGAAAATTTTAAATTTCGACCAAATGTTTTGAATTAATTTGAATTTAACGACTAACTAATGTCAAACTTGATTGGAGGACCTGCAAGTGGCGACGGTGGGGGCTTGGATGTGATGAAGACTTTGCTTCACAGATAACTATTTAGACTTGGCTTGCGGGGTATGTTCCCGTCCAAAGCGGGCACGAGTTCTTGTGAGCCTGGTGGTAGCTGACTTGTAGTAGTAGCCTTCGCAAGTGTGGGCGGCAGCATTGGAGGACTTCTTTGTTGATGGTGCTCCTTTGAGTACCGAGTCGTGATTTCCAGGATGAAAACCCAAGGTCTGGCTTTTTCTAGGTGTGCCTGACAGTGGTCTTGTTGAATGCATTGTTCTGGGAAGACGGTCTTTCTCCTGGGCAAAAATCTACGATCTTTGATCGGGCAACGACAACGCTTGTGCATTGTGTCCTTCCGTGAGACGTTGCTTTCAGAGAACCTTCTTTTATAGTCTGAGTGTTGTCTTTGGTGGTGATTAGAGTGCTGCTGCTACAGGTGATTGATCATCGTGGCAGGATCCTTTTTTTCTCTTTTGGTCGTGTAGTGCATCCTGATGTTTTTACGCATCTCGTTGGTGCAGAGGCTGGATGTAATTGGTATCTTCTTGATATTAATATATTTCCTTTTTTGAAAAAACTGATGTCAAATAGCGTTCATATGCCTCAGAAAACGAATACACCTCTTAGCATGGTGGTAAGGCGCTTGCTGTAGCTGCTAGAGATAGCAGCGTGGAATCCCCATTTTTGTCAAGTGACTTTTCAAAGTGTTTTTAAGTTGAGTTAGAAAATATTGTAGTCCCCACGTGGAAACTTCGCGGTGCATGTTAGTAATGCCCAGGGTCTCCATTTACTCCTTCTAGTATTCCCCTTGCCTTGTGACCCTGAATGTTTTGGAGTAGTGCAACGCAGCCGATGATTTTGCGGTAGATGCATGGACGACACTGGCTGATAATCGTTAGATTAAATCCATCCATACCTAAGCAACATCAGATCCTAGTATCGTCCATCTGCCGTGCATAAAAGGTCGTGTGTGGAGCTATTTCGATGTACTCCTTTGTGCTACTGGTGCATTGAATAATTTCTTGTTGTGATTAAGTTGATTGCCACACTTGCTTTTGCAATAATCCTACTAGCAATAACACAAAATGCGAGGGGGGCCAACAAACCAGGACGGAGGTATAGTATTTCAGTATTGCACTAATGTGTGTGCGTGTGTGTGTTTTGCGAGGGTTTTTATTCTCGAACGAGATTTCATAAACCGATCTTTCAGTTACTCTTCAGAAAAAAATTAAGTTTCAACCAATTCTTTTGAATTTATTTGAATTTAAACGTCTTATTGCTCTCAAATAGCGTTCCTATCCCACAGAAAGCGGAATACACCTCTTAGCATGGTGGTAACGCAGTTGCTGTAGCTGCTCGTGATAGTAGCGTCGAATCCACATTTTTGCCAACTTAATTTTCAAAGTGTTTCTAAGTTCAGTAAAAAAAAAAATTGTAGCCTCCACGTGCAAACTTCGCGATGCATGTTAGGAATGCCTCCATTTACTCCATCTAGTATTCCCCTTGCCTTGTGACGTTGAATGTTTTATTTAAGTTCCGTGCTACTGCTTTGTGAGTTGTGCACTAAATAATTTCTTGTTGTAATTAAGTTGATTGACATACTTGCTTTTGCAACAATCCAACTAGTACGCGTGTGTGTGTGTTCTGAAACCGGTCTTCCCATTACACACTGCAAATTTTAATAGTGGTCGTATTTATTCTCGAACGAGATTTTCTGAAACCGGTCTTCCCATTGCACACTGCAAATTTTAATAGTGGTCGTATTTATTCTCAAACGAGATTTTCTGAAACCGGTCTTCCCATTACACACTGCAAATTTTAATAGTGGTCGTATTTATTCTCAAACGAGATTTTCTGAAACGGTCTTCTCA